ACATAATGGACATTGACCAGTCAGTGGGGATGACTTCAGTAGTCCATATAGTCAAGTAAAGTCACTGTAGCGATTCTGTCAATGCATACCAATTAGTTTCGTAGGCTTCTGCTGGGACGACTGAAAGTTCGGAAGGCAGCAGGTGAAGATAGTATCCCAACAGATGCATCGGCAGGTACACTAAATTGGATAATTTACTGCTTTACAGGAGAGCAGAGGTAGTACGATCGACTCTCAACTCTCAACGGCACTAAAAGCCGTAGCTAGGACGACTACCATCTGAATACTGAACTCAGACACCCCAGTCAGCCCAACGTGTTCGTGTGGAATGGCAGACAGTGAGTCTGACTGGAATGGCTCCTTCATACTGTGGCCTCTATGATACGCTGACCCGCTCGCTTTCCTGTTGTGTGAAAATCTGGCCAATTTTGCGCAGAAGAGGCGTGTGCGGCATACATAGACCAGTTATTTAGTTCTTTCTACAACTGAACCTGATCGTGCATCGGGTCTTCTTGACTGTATCGTGACATCGGGTCTATATTGAGGCAGGCAGGACGATAACAGTAGACGCAGCGCAAATCTGCCTTTACTGTAAACTACCTCACGTGCAAGTTATCGTGCCTGCGCTCACGATGCTGTTGGGAACACGCTATATATGAATATATGGGCTTCGCCGATCTGGTAGAGGAACAATTAAGTTCCGTTTCGCTTAGGAGCTCACAATTAGAGCCCGCGTAGGCAGTCACATAGTGACTATGAGGATGGGAAATGTCGGAATGAATCCGACAAAGCAAATGGAGACCGGAATGGCCATGACTGGCTGAGGAGGGCTAACAAGCCAGAAATGGTCATTCCGGTCTCCCTTGCTTAGTCGGATCTATTCCACACGCTATATATGTTCGAAAACGACGGTATAACTGTGACAAGTGCGTGCGTGTGTATCACACAGAGGCGGATCGGTTAGTGTTAGTAGCCACTGCAGTATACCTCATCTGACCATTCGAATGTACCATGTGTGGAAGGAGTGAAATGGGGAGGATGGTGCGCTAGCAAGTTAGACCAT